CTAATTTTTGTATTTTTAGTGGAGACGGGGTTTCACCATGTTGGCCAGGCTGGTCTCAAACTCCTGACCTCAGATGATCTGCCCACCTCGGCCTCCCAAAGTGCTGGGATTACAGGCATAAGCCACGGTGCCCGCCTTGTTTTTTTTGTAAGAGACAGTGTCTCTGTAGCCCAGGCTGGAGTGCACTGGTGCAATCACTGCAGCCTCAAACTCCTGAGCTCAAGCGATCCTCCCACCTTGGCCTCCCAAAGCACTGGGATTGCAGGTGCGAGCCAACATGCCTGACTCTCATGGTTGTCATCTATGTCTCACCTTGGTGTAAAAACAGGGTCAGAGGCCGGGCACAGTGGCTCACACCTGTAATCCCAGCACTTTGGGAGGCTGAGGCAGGAAGATCATGGGAAGTCAGGAGTTTGAGACCAGCCTAGGCAACATAGTGAGACCCCCATTTCTACAAAAAAAAAAAAAAAAAAAAATTTAATTAGCCAAGAATGGTGGTGTGCACCGGTTGTCCCAGCTACTCGGGAGGCTGAGGCTGGAGGATTGCTTGAACACAGGAGGCTGAGGCTGCAGTGAGCCGTGATTGCACCACTGCACTCCAGCCTGGGTGACAGTAAGACCTGTCTCAAAAACACACACACACACACAAAAACCAAAAACAGGCTGGACACAGTGGCTCACGCCTGTAATTCCAGGAGTTTGGGAGGCTGAGGCGGGTGGATCACCAGAGGTCAGGAGTTCGAGACCAGCCTGGCCAAGAATGGTGAAACCCCATCTCTACTAAAAATACAAAAAATTAGCCAGACGTGGTGGCACGCGCCCCTAATCCCAGCTACTCAGGAGGCTGAAGCAGGAGAATCGCTTGAACCCAGGAGGTGGAGGTTGCAGCGAGCCGAGATCACGCCACTGCACTTCAGCCTGGACAATAAGAGCAAAACTCTGTCTCAAATAAATAAATAAATAAATAAATAAAAATAAAAACAAAAAACAAAACAGGGTCGGAAATCCCAGCTGCCTAGGATTGTCTTTGAAGACAACCTGGTGGCAGCAAGCCCTAATTAAGCACTTTCTGTGTACAAAGCCTTACACTCAGAACAGCTCGAGAAGGTGGGCAGTGGCCAGAGCCCTGAGGCTGAGAGACTGATGGTCACTCATCCATGTTCAGCGGCTTCGTGCAGAGTCCTGTGATGCAGTCAGCTGGCTCTGCGGCCGTGGTGTTGCAGGCCTGGCGTTTTCCCACTGCAGGGGCCTCTCTCCAAGGCCAAGGGGAAAATGAAGCTGGAGGCCCAGGCGTCCTTCCTCCCCTCTCCCTCCGCTGGAGCAGCAGCTGCAGAACAGCTGGGACCAGGGTACAGCTTTGTCCCCTGTCTCAGCATCTTTTGTAAATTATCCCCCAGCCCCTGTGTGCCCAGGGTTCTGGAGGCAGCAGCCCGACTTTGGGAATTTCAAGACAAAAGCCCTAATTTTTCACATCCTTTGAATGCCCCACAAGTGCCTTTCTCAACCCCCCAGTCAGTAGAAGCAAGAATCCAAGACCGTTAAGAGTGAAAATGGATTGAACATGGGGATGGAGGAGGGCGACCGGGGTCTCCAACTAGAGACCTCCACATTGTATGAAGGTCATGATCAAGTTTTGGTTTTGACCCATACGATTTTTTTTTTCCTTTTTTGGGGCAGAGCCTCACTCCGTCGCCCAGGCTGGAATGTAATGGTGCAATCTTGGCTCACTGCAACCTCCACCTCCTGGATTCGCGTGATTCTCATGCCTCAGCCACCCAAGTAGCTGGGATTACAGGTGCGTGCCACCACACCCAGCTAACTTTTGTATTTTTAGTAGAGATGGGGTTTCACCATGTTGGCCAGGCTGGTCTCAAATGCCTGACCTCAAGTGATCCACCCACCTCGGCCTCCCAAAGAGCTGGGATTACAGGAATGAGCCACTGCACCCGGTTAATTATTTTGTTTTGTTTTGTTTTGAGACAGGGTCTTGCTTTGTCATTCAGGCTGGAGTCCAGTGGCACAGCAATCATAGCTCACTGCAGCCTCTACCTCCCATGCTCAAGTGATCCTCCTGCCTCAGCCTCCTGAGTAGCTAATTTTTAAATTTTTTGTAGAAATGGGGTCTCCCTACAACTTTGTCCCCACCTGGGAAGGCTTGTTGATAACCCAGCTCTTTGGTGAGCGCTAGGTCCATGAGTGGCTGAGAGATATGTGTATTTACTTTTAATGTTGTTCAGGGTCCAGTTTACCCAGTGGCATGCCCAGGCTGGTCTTGAACTCCTGGCCTCAAGTGATCCTCCTGCTTCAGCCTCCCAGAGAACTTGGGATTAGCGGTGTGAGCCACTGTGCCTGGCTGAGCACAACTTTTTATTAAGAAAATTTACTGGCCAGGCGTGGTGACTCACGCCTGTAATCCCAGCAATTTGGGAGGCCGAGATGGGCGTATCATGAGGTCAGGAGATCGAGACCATCCTGGCTAACATGGTGAAACCCCACCTCTACTAAAAATACAAAAAATTAGCTGGACCTGGTGGTGGGCGCCTGTAATCCCAGCTACTCAGGAGGCTGAGGCAGGAGAATGGCGTGAACCAGGAAGGTGGAGCTTGCAGTAAGCCAAGATTGTGCCACTGCACTCCAGCCTGGGCAACAGAGTGAGACTCCGTCTCAAAAAAATCAAAAAAAAAAAAATCTCAATTTACACAGGGAATGGGAAGCAGAAGGGTAAGACCTGAAAACCCAGGCAATCACTTCTCTTATTTTAGAGGGCTGAGGTCCAGAGAGGGTATCCTACCTGGGCCAAAGATACAGCCATTGACCTGGGGCTTTCCCTCACTCAGCAGATGTTGGGCAAGTTGTGGAAGAAGACTGGAAGAGAACCACTCTTTTTTTTTTTTTTTTTGAATGGATCTCAGTCTCGTTGCCCAGGCTGGAGTGCGAGTAGCGTGATCTCTGCTCACTGCAAACTCCGCCTCCCGGGTTCGCATTCTCCTGCTCACATCAGTAGCTGGGACTAACAAGGCGCCTGCACCACGCCCACTGAATTTTTTGTAATTTAGTAGAGAGGGTTTCACTTTATGAGTATGGAGGTCTCCAATCTCTGACCTCGTGATATGCCTGTCTCGCTCCTCCCAAGTGCGGGATTACAGACACGAGCCACTGCGCCGCGGGACTCACCATCATCAAAAATGTATAAGCAGGCGATCACTTGAGGTCAGAGTATCGAAGAACCAGCCTGCGCAACAATGCAAGACCTTGTCCTCACGGAACATAAAGATAACGCCGGCTTGGTGGTAACACCGTAACTCACAGCTACTTGGGAGGCTGGTGGGAAGGAGGACACTTGCACGTCTGGCGAGGCGGGATGACTACTGATATCCATCCAGCTAACCTCAGCCTGGGCAACCGAGCCACCTCCGTCGTCCCAAAAAAATAGTCGCAGCGTGCCTATGCCCTGCTAACATCACACCACCTTGGCAAGCGTCCGGAGCATTGCTATCACCCTGCCGGTCACGCAGTCTGAGAACCGAGCCTGCAACTTGTTAAACCCATCCTGCAACAATACAAAAATTAGCCGGCGCTGGTGGCACATGCGTACACCCAGCTGTACTCCAGGGAGGCCCGAGCAGGAGAACCTTGCAACACGGGGGGTGAGGGCGAGGTCACGTGACTGAGATTGTGCCATTGCACTCCAGCCTGGGCAACGAGCGAAACTGGTCTCAAAAAAAAAAAAAAAAAAAAATGGAGTGAGTGCCTAGTACGTGCAAGGCCCTCTTTGGGGGACACACAGCCCTAGCTCCTGCCTTCACAGAGACCCCAGGGAGCGGGACTCTCCACACTCAAAGCATGAAACCCAGTCTCAGGTCCTTTGTACCTGCTGTGCCCCCTGCCGGGCACCCTCTACCCCCAGGTAACTGCGTGGCTCTCTCTCGTCCCCTCCTGAGCTCAGCCAGAGGAATTGGAGGCCTGAGCCATCCCTGTGCCCATTGGTTCTGCTCTACATTCCTGCAGAGTCCCCTCTCCTGCCAGTTTTGCTCCTTTACCCCCATCCTCCTTGATTTTTTTTTTTTTTTGAGACAAAGTCTTGCTCTGTTGCCCAGGTTGGGGTACAGTGGCGCAATCTCGGCTCACTGCAACCTGCGCCTCCTGGGTTCCAGCGATTATCCTGCCTCAGCCTCCCGAGTATTAGCTGGGACTATAGGCGTCCAGCTAATTTTTGTATTTTTAGTAGAGATGGGGTTTCCCCTTGTTGGCCAGGCCGGTCTTGAACTTCTGACCTCAGGTGATCCGCCCGCCTCAGCCTCTCAAAGTGCTGGGATTACAGGTGTGAACCACCACACCTGGCCATCCTCCCTGATTTTGAAGGCCTGCTCAGATCCAGGTGGCCCAGGAAGGCCCCAGGGCCCACCTTGGTTGCATGGGGTTACTTAAAAGGCCTCCGAGTTCTGGGCCCCCCAGGCCAGGTTGACCTCTGACACAATGGCCTCATCTCAAGATCTCTGTGACTTCAGGCCAGGCCCCAGGCTCCGCCCTCCCCAGTAGCCCTGTGAAGTCAGGGCATCAGCTACAGATGGGTAAACTGAGGCTCAGAGGTGGAAATGACTTATCCAGGCCCCAAAGCAAGGATGGGAAGGGATGTATGTTCTGGATGGGGTCCCGGGGCAGAGCTGGGTGTGTTGAGGAACAGCAGGGTGGACAGAGGTCCCCCAGATGAGGGAACAGAGGCCAGGGACCCGTGGGCCTCCCCCCAGACCTGGAAGGCCACAGGCCCAGCTGGGAGGGGAAGGAGAGTCCGTGATGGCTTTAAACCCCACTGGTGGCAGCATTCCCCTCTCCTGATCTGTGCTTGATGGGGAAGAGGTTGGGGGAACTGGGAGCTGGGGGCTCTTAAAGCCTCAGCACTCCTGGTTCTCTTGGCCCTTGGCCTATTTATTCCTTTCCACAAGTTGAATTTTCCTCCTAGCAGGAATCTGTCGGCCCCACTGCCTGAGTTTTCCTGTCCCCAGTGGCCCCCTCTCTGTCTTTGCAGGACGGTGGCCGCAGAGGTGCGGAAGCAGGTGTCCCGGGAACGCAGTGGCTCCCCCAGCTCCAGCAGGCGCTGCAGCAGCTCCCTGGGGGTAAGTATTTGGGGGGTCCACCTCCAGCCCCCTGCCTTCTCTCAGACAGAGGTAGGGGCTTCCTTGGCCTAGGTTCTATCCCACCCTCTCCCTCCTGTGGCCTGTCCTATGGGGAAACCAAGAGAGACCCAGCAGTGTGAGGGGAGGGAGTCCCTGCCCTGGTCCTCGTACTGTCACCAATTCCTGTGGCCACTCTCCCTGCAGCTGCTTGTCACCCTGTGGGTGGTCCAGGGGGAGTGGCTCCCCGCTGATGTCCCCCACCTCCAGCCACCTGGACCACCCAGATGGGGATGGAGGAGGGAAGTTGGGGAGGGGAGTGGCTTTTGCCTAAGAGGGGTGGGGCCATCCATGTTGCCCAGAGGGTTGGGAGGGATTTAGGAATTGTGTCTTGCCTGGCCTCTGTCAACATTTCTTTCCTTCCACTGTTAGTTTCTGCCCTTCCAGGCATGGGGTGTGATTTCCTTCCTGGAGCCCCTGGAGGGAGGGGCAGGGCAGGGCAGGGAAAGCTGAGGTGGGGGTGGAGGGTCTGAGGTCACCCTCCTCCATGGCTCCTCCGTAGCTCCAACACCCTCCATGGCTCCCACCGCCCTCCTATTTGAGTTTGAAGCCAGCACGCACCCACCCCTGCCTCACGCCTCCACTCTCAGCCTCCTGGGCAGTGCGATCACAGCCACTTTGCTCCAATCCAGGTCCCACTGACTGAAGTTGTCGAGCCCCTGGACTTTGAGGATGTACTTCTGAGCCGGCCACCAGACGCTGAACCCGGGCCCCTCAGGGACCTGGTCGAATTCCCAGCTGACGACTTGGAGCTGCTGCTGCAGCCCCGGGAATGCCGGACCACAGAACCCGGGATCCCCAAGGATGAGTGGGTAGCCCCACACCCTCTCGGCCTGTGATTCCACTCTGTCTCTGCCGTCCACATCAACCGCCCGAGTTCAGCTCCTGGCTGGGCCGTGACCTTGGACAAGCCATGCTTTTTCTCTGAGCCTCTGTCTCTCCCTGTCTGGAATAGGCAGGACAGTGCTAACCTTACAGGCTAGCAGAAGGATTCTCAGAGACCCTGCCTCTGCTTACCCTGATCTTCTTTTGCTGCAGAAAACTGGATGCTCAGGTGAGGGCCGCAGTGGAGATGTATATCGAGGACTGGGTCATCGTCCACAGAAGGTGAGTCTGACTTGGGGGCAGCTCAGGGGGTTCGGAACCCAAAAGGGCTGAGCTGATGTCTGCAGCCGGTCCTACTGTGTATCTGCCCATTGTCCCTGCAAGAGCAGGCAAACTTGTCAGGTGGAGCACGAGGAGGGTGGCTTCGTAGGGGCCGAGTAGGTGTGTCGGAACACACTGGGGAGCCCCTGGGGGCCCTCAGCCCTCCCTACCTGCCCAGCCCCGTTTCCTGCTAGGTATCAGTATCTGAGTGCAGCATACAGCCCCGTCACCACGGAGACACAGCGAGAGCGACAGAAGGGCCTCCCCCGCCAGGTCTTTGAGCAGGATGCTTCTGGAGACGAGAGGTCCGGCCCTGAGGACTCGGTGAGGAATTCCCTGGCTGGGGTCACTGAAGGGGTATGTGTGGAGGCTCCAGTCCCAGGTTTTGGTCACATGTGACAGGAAATGACCCAAACAGTCTTGAGCTCAAAAGGAATTGCATCAGTCCCCATGAGTAAAAAGTTAGGGGTCATAATTGTAAACATTTATTGAGTGCTTAGGGTATACTAAAGGCTTTATATGTGTCCTCTCCTTTCATCCTAGGAGTCAGGGCAGCCATTACACCCAGGTGAGGAAACTGAGGCACAGCAAGGTTCTTAGAGGCCTTGAGCCTATATTTTGTCAGTCAACATTTACTGGGCACTTACTGTATACCAACCGTAATTATTCCAAAGATTATTGTTGTTTTCATTATTATTATTATTATTTTAAGTAAGTTTATTTATTATTTTGAGATGGAGTCTCACTCTGTCACCCAGGCTGGAGTACAGTGGCATAATCTCAGCTCACTGCAACCTCCACCTCCTGGGTTCAAGCGATGCTCCCACCTCAGCCTCCCGGGTAGCTGGGATTACAGGCATGGGCCACCATGCCGGCTAATTTTGTTATTATGTTTAGATGTACATGGGGAAACTGAGGCCCTTAGAGTTAGGGGTCAGAGACTCAGTGTCACAGAGCTGAGCTGAGATTTGATCCAGTGCAGGAAGGTCAGGAAGAACTCTCTCCTTCCCTGGCAACAGTGAACAAAGTCCCAGGGAAGGCTCTCATTGGCCCAGCCCAGGCCCTTGGAGCCAGCCCCTAGGGTGGGTGGATGTGTTCTGATTGGCCAGATAAGAATCACCTGAAGCCCCAAATGTGGGATAAAGAGTAGCCTCCCTCAACAATGGTAAAAATTGGGAGGCTCTCCAGACAGAAGTTTCTGGAAAGAGGGTAGGCAAAACCCCCACGTGATCCTTAGAGTGATGACCCTCAGCCCCTGACCCTCAATTTCTCCATCTCTAGAATGAGTTTGAGGACACTCTCACCAGAGTGTGGTGAGGGTGTATACAGCTGGCACTCAGTGCTTGCTCATTGTCCACTGGCAGAATGACTCCCGGCGCGGCTCAGGCTCCCCGGAAGACACCCCTCGAAGCAGTGGTGCCTCTAGCATCTTCGACCTGAGGAACCTGACAGCTGACTCATTGCTGCCCTCGCTGCTAGAGCGGGCGGCCCCAGAAGATGTGGACCGGCGCAATGAAAGCCTTCGACGGCAGCACCGACCCCCGGCCCTGCTTACCCTCTACCCGGCGCCTGACGAGGTAGGTGCCCCTTCCCAGATATCAGCCAACCAGCATTTACTGGGTGCCTATTGTATACTTCATGTTTATTCAATAGCTTCTATAGATGGACATCTACTATATACCCCTATAGTAATCTAATCAGCGTTTATTGGGCACCTACTGTATATCCTATGTTTATTAAATAGATTCTATATGTGGACACCTACTATATACCCCTATATCCAACCAGCATGTATTGGGTGCCTACTGTATACCCTATGCTTATTCAATAGCTTCTAAGCCAGGCATGGTGGCTCAGGCCTGTAATCCCAGCACTTTGGGAGGCCACGGTGGGCAGATCACTTGAGGCCAGGAGTTCAAGACCAGTCAACATGGCGAAACCCCGTCTCTACTAAAAATACAAAAGTTAGCCAGGCATGGTGGCAGGTGCCTGTAATCCCAGCTACTTAGGAGGCTGAGGCATGAGAATCGCCAGAACCCGGAAGGCCAAGGCTGCAGTGAGCTGAGATCAACATCACTGCACTCCAGCCTAGACAACAGAGCAAAACTCTGTCTCAAAAAAAACAAAAACAAAAACAAAAAAAGTAGCTTCTGGCTGGGCGTGGTGGCTCATACCTGTAATCCCAGCACTTTGGGAAGCTGAGGCGAGACTCAAAAAAAAAAAAAAAGATAGCTTCTGTATATGGACACCTACTGTATACTTTTATAGTTAGCTAACCAGCATTTAGTGGGCACCTACTGTATCTCCTAAGTTTATTCAATAGCTTTTATATGTGGACACCTACTATATACTCCTATATTTATCCAACCATCAACACCATAGGAAAGGTAAAAACATATATAAAATAAATTTTTTTTTTTTTTTTTTTTTTTTTTGAGACGGAGTCTGGCTCTGTCGCCCGGGCTGGAGTGCAGTGGCCGGATCTCAGCTCACTGCAAGCTCCGCCCCCCGGGTTTACGCCATTCTCCTGCCTCAGCCTCCCGAGTAGCTGGGACTACAGGCGCCCGCCGCCTCGCCCGGCTAGTTTTTTTTTGTATTTTTTAGTAGAGACGGGGTTTCACCGTGTTCGCCAGGATGGTCTCGATCTCCTGACCTCGTGATCCGCCCGTCTCGGCCTCCCAAAGTGCTGGGATTACAGGCTTGAGCCACCGCGCCCGGCCAAATTTTTTTTTTTTTGAGATCAGTCTCGCTCTGTCGCCCAAGCTGGAGTGCAGTGGCCGATCTCAGCTCATTGCAACCTCCACCTCCTGGATTCAAGCGATTCTTCTGCTTCAGCCTCCTGAGTAGCTGGGACTACAGGCGTGCGCCACCATGCCTGGCTAATTTTTGTATTTTTAGTAGAGATGGGGTTTCAACATGTTGGCCAGGCTGGTCTCAAACTCCTGACCTTGTGATCCACCTGCCTCAGCCTCCCAGAGTGCTGGGATTACAGGCATGAGCCACTGCACCCGGCCAGAAAATAAATTTTTAAAAATTATTTATCCAACAAGCATGTATTGGGTACCAACTGTATATCCCTATATTTATTCAATACATGAATGCCTACTGTATAGTTCTCTATTTAATCAACCAATATTTATTGAACACCTACCACATACGCCTATTTTTATCCAACCAACATTTATTTGGTACCTAGTGTATACTCCTGTGTTTGTATTTAGCCATTTATTGAGTGCTTACCATATACACCCATATTTATTCAATCAGTACTTATTGGGTGCCTTATTGGGTATATATCCCTATTTCGCCAATCAGCATTTATTGGATGCTTTCTGTATGTGCTTATGTTCATCCAACCAACTTTTAGTAGGTACCTCTTGTATACCTCTATAATAATTTGACTAACATGTTTGAGTACCCACTGTATTGTTGGCATTGGGGATATAGCCATGAATAGAGAGACCCAGTCCCTGCCTTCAGAGTTCACTGGTGGAGACCTCTCTACTAGGAGCTTATAACCCAGACAGAGTAGTGCCATGATGAGGTGCTGGTAATTGTCCCTCACACGGTCCTCACTGTCCCAGCCACCATGGCTCCTTACACCAGGGCATTGTGGGCACCTGAAGAGGTGCCTGCCCAGGCCTCAGGGATCAGGGAGGACTTCCTGGAGGAAGGGTTGGCTAAGCTGCAATCCCAGCTACTCCAGAGGCTGAGGCAGGAGAATCACATGAACCTGGAAGGCAGAGGTTGCAGTGAGCCAAGATCACACCACTGCACTCCAGCATGGGCGACAGAGTGAGACTCCATTTAAAAAAAAAAAAGCTTCTATACATGGACACCTACTATGTACCTCTATATAGCAGAATTATATATGAACAGTGAGCAGACATTAGCCAGACAAGGAGGAGCGGGAGAAGACGGGCATTCCAGGCACGGGAACAGCATGTGTAAAGGCTCAGAGGCAGGGACAGAAAGACGGTCAGTCAGGCTGGGGTAGAGCTGGTCTGAAGCTGGGCATTCCAGACCCTTCCTGGAGGATGTCCCAGCTGCTCCCCCGCAGCTCCTGCCCCCGACTCTTGGCAGGACGAAGCTGTGGAACGCTGTAGCCGCCCAGAGCCACCCCGCGAGCACTTTGGACAGAGGATCTTGGTCAAGTGTCTGTCACTCAAGTGAGTGTACCGATGTGTCCCTCTTCTTAGATGTGTGAAAGGACCGCGTGGGTTCCGGTGGGGTACACACTACATGAGTAGTGCCATTACCGTGTGCGGCCCTGTCACCTATGTGGCCACCTATGGGCTTTTATGGGGGAAGTAAGACTTCCCTTTTCGTTATCCCAAGTCGCCAATTCTTAAGTGCCAATTGTATGCCAGGATCAGTTCTCAGCCTTTCATGTATATGAACCCATCTAATCTTCACCACAACCTCATGAAGTGGGCAAAGGTGGGGAAACTGAGGCACAGAGTGGTAACATCATGGTGCCAAGACCATACAACTTGTGAAGCTGGAGTCTGGCGCTTGCCGGCCCTGCTGCTGGGATCCAGGGTTTGGCTGGGAGGCTTTGGGGCGGGTGCTAGTGACCCTGGGCCTGGCTCTCAGCCCCCTCCACACCAGCCCCCAGGGAGCAGCAGAAGTGCGTGGGAACAGAGTTGAACAGGATGTGGACTTGGACCTGAGCCTGGCCCTGCCTCTCCCCACCCCGAGTTCCTGCCTGGATCAGGGCAGGAAAGGGAGGCTCCATGCTGGCCTGAGGCCTGGGTGGGCCTCCTGCCCTAAACACAAGGATTGGGAACTGGCTCTGTGGGCTCATCCAGTCATTCAACAAACACTTACTGGCCGGGCGCGGTGGCTGCCACCTGTAATCCTAATACTTTAGGAAGCGAGGCGGGCAGATCACTGAGCCCAGAAGTTTGAGACCAGCCTGGCCAACATGGCAAAACACCATCTCTACTAAAAAAAAAAAATTAGCCAGACGTGGTGGCAGGCACCTGTAATCCCTGCTACTCAGGAGGCTGAGGCAGGAGAATCACTTGACCCGGAGAACGGAGGTTGCGGTGAGCTGAGATTGTGCCACTGCACTCCAGCCTCAAAAAACAAACCAAAAAAAATTTATGAAGTCCCTACTGTATACAGGACACATAACCATGTAATGACCACACAGAGCCAGGAGAAGTGACACTGAAAGTGTGTAGAGTCCTGGAGGAGGCTCCTGACCCAGCTTGAGGGGTAGGAGCGGGTATCTGGGACAGCTTCCCTTGCAGAGGGACGTGTACATGGAGACTCAGTGAGGAAGAGGAACTGGCTGAATAGAGAGGATGGAAGGGATGTAACGGGGAGTACTCAGTGTTTCAGTTTGGAGGTGCATAGTGAGCGGAGGCCAGCAAGGTAGAGTAAGACAGGGAAGGACTTATGGTGGCCATTCAGGTGAGCGAGATGGGAACTCCATGCAGCATGGCAGTGGTGGCAGATGACACCCCAGAAAGGAGAGACGGGGGAGCCCAGAAGTTGAGAATTTCAAGATGTGGGGATTGTTGAGCCCAACACTGCCCCCATGCCAACTGAAAAAGGGCTGTGGTTGCAGGGAGGAGGAACTCTGTGTGAGTTACTTACTAAGGGTGTAGGAAGGGGGAAAAAAAAGTTTCAGTGTCGGCCGGGCACGGTGGCTCACGCCTGTAATCCCAGCATTTTGGGAGGCCGAGATGGGCGGATCACGAGGTCAGGAGATCGAGACTAGCCTGGCCAACATGGTGAAACCCTGTCTCTACTAAAAACACAAAAAATTGGCCGGGCACAGTGGCTCATGCCTATAATCCCAGCACTTTGGGAGGCCGAGGTGGACGGATCACGAGGTCAGGAGATCGAGACCACAGTGAAACCCCGTCTCTACTAAAAACACAAAAAATTAGCCGGGCGCAGTGGTGGGAACCTGTAGTCCCAGCTACTCGGAGGCTGAGGCAGGAGAATGGCATGCACCCGGGAGGCGGAGCTTGCAGTGAGCTGAGATCGCACCACTGCACTCCAGCCTGGGTGAGACAGCGATACTCCATCTCAAAAAAGAAAAAACAAACAGAAAATTAGCCAGGTGTGGTGGCACGTGCCTGTAGTCCCAGCTACTCAGGAGGCTGAAGCAGGAGAATTGCTTAAACCCAGGAGGCAGAGGTTGCAGTGAGCCAAGATCGCGCCACTGCACTCCAGCCTGGGCAAAAGAGCAAGACTCTGTCTCAAAAAAAACAATAAAAAAAAACTTTAGTGCCTCAGTTTCCCCTTTTGCAAAATGAGATGTACCTTTTCTGCAAGCCCTTAAGTGGCGGTTCCATGTGGCCCAGTGGGAGTCAGATGCCCTCCACCTTGGGCCCCAAGAGGGAGTGGGGTGTGTGGATGGCGGGAAGTATTAAGGAGAACCCCCTCCCTCCCATTTACTTGTAGGTTTGAGATTGAAATTGAGCCCATCTTTGGGATCTTGGCTCTATATGACGTGCGGGAGAAAAAGAAGGTAGGAGCCCTTTTTTCTCTTTCCTCCCCTTCCTCCTTCTTGTTGGGGGGCTGTGGGCTTCCCAGAGGTAGTGGCCCAGCTGCCTCTGGTGTCCCTAGATCTCGGAGAACTTCTACTTCGACCTGAACTCGGACTCCATAAAGGGGCTGCTTCGGGCTCATGGCACCCACCCTGCCATCTCCACCTTGGCCCGCTCTGCCATCTTCTCCGTGACCTACCCCTCACCTGACATCTTCCTGGTCATCAAGGTGCCTGCTGGGGCTGGGCAAGGGGGTGGTAATACTGAATGCCTGTCACTGGTTCAGTCCCTGCCTTCACAGAATGAGACAGATACATCACCAAGAAGGGTAATCAGGGCTGTTGCCAGGGTCACACAGGCCGGGAGGAGGTCCCTAACCCAACTCAGGTGGGGAGAAATCACCGAGGGCTTCCAGGGAGAGGCGACAGTTGAGCTGAGAACCATAAGTGGGCAGCCTGGGAAGAAAAACCATCCCTGGGCACATGTGACAGGCTGGGGTCCTCGGAGGCAGGTGAGATGCTGTTGGGAAGTTTATGGACAGATGAAAGACCTAGTTGGTACCCTCATTTGAGATTTTCTCTTTCTGGGAGTGAGGACAAGTTGCTTTTCTCAAAATCTTCAATTAGGTTGCAATGATGTGTCCACAGGCAGGTGCTGCTACGGTCACGCTTCACAGGGATCCCACCTTCAGTCCTCACCACAGGCCCCAAGGTGGAGGGGTGCTATGGCTCCCATTGGGGAAACTGAGGCACAGAGTAGCTAGGGTCCCACTGTCCAGGGTCTCACAGCCCCTGAGTGGTCAGGATTGGAGTCTAGGCCTCATGACTCAGAGCCATGTCCAGAGTGGCCTCTGTTTACACTAACAAAGAAAAATGTAGGGAAGGCCAGGCACGGTGACTCATGACTGTAGTCCTAGCACTTTGAGAGGCTGAGACGGGAGGATCGCTTTAGCCCAGGAGTTCGAGACCAACCTGGCCAACATGGTGAAACCCATTCTCTACTAAAAATATAAAAATTAGCTGGCGTAGTAGCAGGTGCCTGTAATCCCAGCTACTGTTCAGGCTCAGGCAGGAGAATTGCTTGAACCCGGGAGGCAGAGGTTGCAGTGAGCCGAGATTGCACCATTGCACTCCAGCCTGGGTGATAGAGCGAGACTCCATTTCAAAAAAAAAAAAAAAAAGCCAGGTGTGGTGGGTCATGCCTGTAATCCCAGCTACTTAGGAGGCTGAGGCAGGAGAATCGCTTGAACTGAGGAGGCAGAGGTTGCAGTGAGCTGAGATCCCACCACGCACTTCAGCCTGGGCAACAGGGGAAACTCTGTCTTAAAAAAAAAAAAAAAAAAAAAAGGCCGGGCGCGGTGGCTCGCGCCTGTAATCCCAGCACTTTGGGAGGCCAAGGCGGGCGGATCACGAGGTCAGGAGATCGAGACCATCCTGGCAAACATGGTGAAACCCTGTTTCTACTAAAAATACAAAAAAATTAGCCAGGTGTGGTGGCGGGCGCCTGTAGTCCCAGTTACTCAGGAGATTGAGGCAGGAGAATGCCATGAACCCGGAGGGGGCGGAGCTTGCAATGAGCGGACATCACGCCACTGCACTCCAGCCTAGGCGACAAAGCAAGACTGTATCTCAAAAAAAAAAAAAAAATTTGCATGGCAAGCCGGGGACGTGATGGCTCATGCCTGTTATCCCAGCACTTTGGGAGGCAGAGGTGGGGGCATCACTTGAGCCCAGGAGTTTGAGACCAGCCTGGGCAACATAACGAGACCCCTGTCTCTATAATACATACATACATACATACATACATAAATGTAAATAAATAAGTAAATGTAGGGAAAATATCATCAGCTAAAGGTGGGCTTGGAGTTTGGGGGTGGATCTGAAGAATGGGAGGGAGTAGCCACCAGGCAGGTCAAGCACTAACCCTTGATCCTAAGGACAGTGGGAGCCATGGGAGGTGTTGGAGCAAAAGCCTTCATATGATAGGAGTGTCTGAGGGCCCATGAGGGGTCCTGGAGGCTGGGGAGTCAGTAGGAGGGAACAGAGCGTTTGGGCGGCGCCTCACTGGATTCATTCATCTGCCCCGCAGTTGGAGAAGGTGCTTCAGCAAGGGGACATCAGTGAGTGCTGTGAGCCTTACATGGTGATGAAAGAAGTAGACACAGCCAAGGTAAGTGTGTGGGGGCTGAACCAGGGGCAGGCCAGATTCCTGACTCAGCAGGGCTAGGATGCTGAGCTGGCAGGGGACGGGGGTCTCCCCATAGAACAAAGAGAAGCTAGAGAAGCTGCGCCTGGCGGCTGAGCAGTTCTGCACCCGCCTGGGCCGCTACCGCATGCCCTTTGCCTGGACGGCCGTGCACTTGGCCAACATCGTGAGCAGCGCTGGGCAGCTGGATCGGGACTCTGACTCGGAGGGCGGTGAGGAGGCGGGGCTAACAGCCCTGGGGCGGGAATGGGGGCGGGGCTAAAGGGTGGCGCTGACAGGCCTGGGGCGGGGCTACGGAGCGAGTGGGGTGCGCCCTCTGCTGGCCGAACTGTGCCGCCCCGAGTCTCCTTCTTTCATCTTGGTCCCCCTTTTGTCATTGTCACTCCCTCCTCTAGAGCGCCGGCCAGCTTGGACAGACCGCCGCCGTCGGGGGCCCCAGGACCGGGCGAGTAGTGGGGACGACGCCTGCAGTTTCTCTGGCTTCCGCCCAGCCACGCTAACTGTCACAAACTTCTTTAAGCAGGTGTCCTACCCCGGGGCCAGGGACTCCCCCTCTCCCCGCTGGCTGCATCAGCCCTGGGGACCCCTAGCCCCCCGGCCCAGGCTGACGGGAGCGGGTCCCATGTAGGAGGCTGAGCGACTTAGTGACGAGGACCTCTTCAAGTTCCTAGCTGACATGAGGCGCCCGTCGTCCCTGCTGCGGCGACTACGTCCTGTGACTGGTGCGTGGCACACCCCGTACACAAGAAGTATCACTCTCACTCAGTCACTCAACAAACCTACACTGAGAGCACCTACTGTGCCAGGGGCATCAGAGACCCAATCGTGACCTTGATAGACAAATCCCTGACCTCGGGGGCTAACTGTGCCTTCTAATGAGGACCATAGACAAGAAGCAGAATTAATAAGATGGATATAGGGCGGATAATGGGTGGATAATGGCAGCAGGGCAGGCAGGGGTCCTGGGGGCAGAGTTGATCAAATGTAGGGGTAAGGCTGGGGTGCAGTGGCTCAAGCCTGTAACCCCAATACTTTGGGATACTGAGGCAGGAGGAAGATCGTTTGAGTGCAGGAGCTCAAGACCAGCCTGGGGGCCAGGTGCAGCGGCTCATACCTGTAATCCCAGCACTTTGGGAGGCCGAGGTGGGCAGATCACTTGAGGTCAGGAGTTTGAGACCAGCCTGGCCAACACGGTGAAACTCCGTCTCTACTAAAAATACAAAAATTCACCTGGTGTGGTGGCACACACCTGTAATCCCAGCTACCTGGGAGGCTGAGGCAGGAGAATCACTTGAACTGGGGAGGCAGAGGTTGCAGTGAGCCAAGATCGCCCCACTGCACTCCAGCCTGGGCGACAGAGCCTGATTCCACTTAAAAAGAAAAACAAAAACAAAAACAAACTGTAGGATGAGAGACAGCAGAGTTGAGGGCAATCTCTGGACTTGGCACCTGAGGGACACAGCCCCCAGTCCGCAGAGAACATCGTGGGAGAGCCTGCCCTGACTCCACAGCCCAGACAGGGTGGGCTGGGCCGGGAGGCTCCCAGGCAGGTGCAAACCGGTTCTTCCCTTCCCAGCCCAGCTCAAGATCGACATTTCTCCAGCTCCGGAAAATCCCCACTTCTGCCTCTCCCCCGAGCTGCTTCATATCAAGCCCTACCCGGACCCCAGGGGCCGGCCCACCAAGGAGATCCTGGAGTTCCCTGCTCGCGAAGTCTATGCCCCCCATACCAGCTATAGGTACGGCATCTGGGGCCCAGCTGGGCACTTGAATGCGAGGTATTCGTACATCATGCTGGGTGGGTTCTCCCTAAGCCGAGGACACACACAGACACCCTGGGTGAGATGCCACGACTCTGCTTTAATAAGGGGGGTGTGTAGGCATGAAAGGGTACACATCCTTCCTCCACCCCTCCCCAATGGGGCTACGTCCTCTGCCTTTGTCCCTGCCTGCGTCTGTCTCTGCTCTGTGCTCAGAAGTGGGGCCCGGCGCCCTGGCTGATCCCAGTGAACAGGCAGCTCCTCCCTGTTCAGGGGCCTCATGGGGCGTGGAAGTGTTCCTTGCAGCATGGTTGGTCCTCAGTTCCATCCAGGCAGATTCAGGCTGGGAGCGCCGCTTTGTGGATTCTGGGGAGGGAGATGTGGCTCATCCCAGGTGAGGGGGCCCCTTTTCAGCTGCCCTGTGCACCCCCCATCCAACTGCCCTCCCTCCCAAACCCCCGCCAGGCTCACCTCTCCTGGATCTGTCGCAGCCGATGCTGCTGTGCCACCATCTCCCGCCTCTGCCGCTGCACGTGGCCTGTGAGGGCCCACAGGATGTGGCTCTGCTTGTCAGCGTGAGCCTGTGGGGGTCAGAATGGAAACCTCAGCTGACGGCCACCTCACCTCCCATCTCCTGACCCCCTGCCTTGGCCCCCCTATTGTATCTGTGTGACCCAGCAAGTCAGCAATGCTCTTTGGCCTCAGTTTCTCCATCTGTACAATGGGGATAAAATAGGACTCACTTCATGGGGAGGTGATAAACATCGTATGGATTTTTTTTTTTTTTTTTTTGAGACAAAGTCTCGCTCTGTCACCCAGGCTGGAATGCAGTGACATGATCTTAGCTCACTGCAACCTCCGCCTCCCGGGTTCAAGCAATTCTCCTACCTAAGCCTCCTGAGTAGCTGGAACTACAGTCACGTGCCACCAGGCCCAGCTAATTTTTTGTATTTTTAGTAGAGACGGGGTTTCACCATGTTGGCCAGGCTGGTCTCCAACTCCTGACCTTAAGTGATCCACCCGCCTCAGCCTCCCAAAGTGCTGGGATTACAGATGTGAGCCACCAAGCCCGGCCATCATATGGATTATTAAAGGGCATAGAACAGTGCTGGGTACCTATTGGGTGCTTACAAAATATTACTAGTTTCTCTAGTAGTAAGAATTTATTGGCCAGGTGCTCACACCTGTAATCCCACCACTTTGGGAAACCAAGGTAGGCAGATCCCTTGAGGTCAGGAGTTCGAGACCAGCCTGGCCAACATGGTGAAATGCCATCTCTACTAAAAATACAAAAATTAGCTGGTGTACCTGTAATTCCAGCTACTCTGGAGGCTAAAGCAGGAGAATCACTTGAACCCAGGAGGTGGAGGTTGCAGTGAGCCAAGATCATGCCACCGTACTCCAACCTGGGTGACAGTGAGACTCTGTCTGATAAAAAAAAAAAAAGAAAAAGAATTTATTGAGCGCCAACTGTGTGCCCGCCCCATGCTGAATATTTCACCTGCATTGAGTACCTGGCCCTACTGTGAGACACCAGGTGTTGCCCTTATTTGCAAATGGAAAACTGAGGCACACAAAAGGACTTGGTTTTTGTCTGGGGACATGCAGAGTAGAGGCCACAGAGCCGGGAGGCTGATCTGGGAGGTCTTTGGGACTTAGGTGCGGAAGCGAGTTCTGGCCGGGAATCAGGGTCTCAGCCTGCTAGGGCTGGGGGAGCCCCTTACCTTTAAGACCTCAAATTCTTGGTAGGCAGGGCCCAGCCAGGCGCTCCTCAGCTGGACTTCTAGCCGCCGCACGCTGTCCTGTAGCACCTTCTGTGCCTGGGCCACCTCCTCCAGCACCTCGGCTGCGGCCTCTGCCTTCAGCTGCAGAATATCCTCCTCCATCTGCTTAATAAACGGGGGGTCACTAGTAGGATGACCAACTCATCTTTGTGTACCTAAGGACTTGCCTGAGTTTATCGCTGAAAATCTTGTATCCCAGGAATCCCCTCAGTCCTGGGCAAACCAGGATGGTTGGTTACCCTAGACATGAACTCCTCTTCGAACTCCTGGCCACCCCACAGTGTCGCAGCTGCGGTGCCCACCTGAGTCTCCAACAGGCTTGCCCGAAGTTCCTGGGCTGCATCCCGGCCCCGGCTGACCTCCTGCCCCAGGAGTTCCACTGTGCGGCCATAGAGACCCAGGCTGTTCCTGGCCTTTGTCAGCCGTCCCTCCGTGGTCTTGTACACACCATTGAGGGCCTGGCCCAGCTGCAGGGTCCCGTGGAAGAGCAGGGTCAGCTCCTCATGTTCTGCCAGTTCTGGGCTGCCCACGGGGGCCGCTGAGGCAGGCTGGATCACCATTGCCAGGGCCCACAGCAGGCACAGAGCAGGCACTGGCATGACTGAGGGTCTGAGTGTGTAGCCACAGCACCGCCACTGAAGCCTTTTATGTCTCACACCCCCACTGATCCCCAGTCAATCGTTAACTGGCCAGCCGGGTGCCCCGCATTGCACAAGGACCTGGTGGTGGTGCGATAGTTGCATCATGCAAATGTCCGGCTGGGCCACGCCGGGATCACGCTTCCTGGGGCTCAGGGCCAGGTGTGGGTGGGGGGCATTGGGAGAGGACGGGCCCCAGACCCCGCTGGGAGTTCCTGAGACTCACCATGTTGAGCCTGTTTCTCCATCTATGAATAGGCATCGCAATGATGATGGTAATAATAGTGAAGTTTTTTGTTTTTGTTTTTGTTTTTTTTTTTGAGGACGGAGTCTCGCTCTGTCACCCAGGCTGGAGTGCAGTGACCGAATCTCAGCTCACTGCAAGCTCCACCTCCCAGGTTTATGCCATTCTCCTGCCTCAGCCTCCCGAGTAGCTGGGACTACAGGCGCCCGCCACCTCGCCCGGCTAGTTTTTTGTATTTTTTAGTAGAGACGGGGTTTCACCGTGTTAGCCAGGATGGTCTTGATCTCCTGACCTCGTGATCCGCCTGTCTCGGCCTCCCAAAGTGCTGGGATTACAGGCTTGAGCCACCGTGCCCGGCCAATAGTGAAGATTTTATAAGCATTGAGGGCTTTTATTGGCCTGGTTAGTAGCCAAGGGGGCAGGTGCAGGTGGCAAGACTCTCCCAAGGTCACACAGCCTGATCTCCAAGACCTGCATATACCCGGATCACCACTGACTGCCATTTTACTCCCTGGGAGATTGTGCAAGTACCTTGGTTTCCCCTCCTGTAAAATGGTGGTGATGTTAGTCCTGCCTCATGAGCTACTTGTCAGAAGTAAATGAGTGATTTCATGTTGAGTGCTTAGAACAGAGCCTGGCACACAGTAGGTGCAATTATTGTATTGTTGTAGTAATAGTGTTTGGTGCAATTATTGTCATTGTTGTTATTTATCATCATCAGTATCGTTACAAAGGCTCAGCTGGAAGGCCTGAAGTGCCCATTATACACACAGGGAAACTGAGACCCAGAGAGAGGTCAAGACTTGCACAGAGTTGCCTCTGGGGGAAGGAGGCAGGACTCTGACTCTGGCCTCAGTTTCTGCACCTGAGAAATAGGCCACATAATTCTAGTGACCTCCTAGGGGAAGGGCAGTCAGGCCCTTGGGTGGGGCTTAGGCTTGACCACTGGCCACCTGAGCCACCTTGGAACTCTGGCCCCAAGTGCTTCGTTCTTCTCTGCCTTCTGTGTGTCACTGTGTCCACGAGTGCCTCCGATGTCTTTCTGTGTTCCCACCCTCTACCACGCTGTTCCCAATCCGTGCTTTGAGGGTACTCACTTGTCCTCCACCCTCTGCCCTCTGTCCTATCTCCTGCCTGATACCTGTATTACCTCTCACCTGGCCCTCAATACCCCAGCCTCATGACCCAGTCTTCCTGGACTGTCTGTGCTCCCAGCCAGCCTTGTCCCATCACCCCAGCCTCATATGTGCACCTTCAGGGGCCCTGTTCCTCTGACACCCCCATCCTGCCCCCGACAGGAACCTGCTGTACGTGTACCCGCACAGCCTCAACTTCAGCAGCCGCCAGGGCTCCGTGCGCAACCTTGCCGTGCGAGTGCAGTACATGACAGGCGAGGACCCCAGCCAGGCCCTGCCGGTCAGTGACTGCACCCCAGGGAAGGAGGGGAGGGCATCCCCCATGGGTTCCTCATGCATCCACTCCGCCAGGTCATCTTTGGCAAGTCCAGCTGCAGTGAATTTACCCGCGAGGCCTTCACACCGGTGGTCTACCATAACAAGTATGTAGGGGGACACTTGAGGAACTCGGGGGCACTCATGGGGATAGGAGGATGTCCCTTATATATACACATAGGGCAGCATCGATGAGAAGATGGGGGGCAGGAAGAAGAAGAGAGGTAGAGGCTCCCAGAGTGCTAATGAGGGAAGTTGAGGCAGAGAGCAGAGACAGTGAGGCCCAGCAGCAATGCAGGTATGGCATGGCAGAGGTGATGGGGCAGACAGTGGGGAGCCCAGCCCTCAGCAGATCCCCCAGCCTGATTCTCCCAGGTCCCCTGAGTTCTACGAGGAGTTCAAGCTGCATCTTCCAGCCTGCGTGACAGAGAACCATCACCTGCTGTTCACCTTCTACCACGTCAGCTGCCAGCCCCGGCCGGGCACTGCCCTGGAGACGCCCGTGGGCTTTACTGTGAGCCGTCCCCTCCCTCCCTCCCTCCCCCTGAGCCCTCCTCGTCCCCAAGCCTGGCCGCAGACCTGACCTCCAGCCTCTCCCCAGTGGATCCCACTGCTGCAGCATGGGCGCCTGAGGACCGGCCCCTTCTGTCTCCCGGTGTCCGTGGACCAGCCGCCGCCCAGCTATTCCGTGCTCACACCCGATGTATGTGCCCCGGAGCGCCTGCCTGCCAATGCACTCTCCCCAGAAGCACTCCCGAGTCACCTGCCTTCCTTCCTTTCAATCCTGGGAGGCTTGTTGGCCTCTACTGGTGTCTCCAGGGCCCCTGTGTAGCTCATTATCCCCCTATTAATGCCTCTTTGTGTCCTACCTGTCCTCCCCAAAGATTCCCGTTGCCTCTCTGCTCCATTCCCACTTTAGCACCCTGCTTGCCTTCCTGATCACTGTCCCCTGCCCCCGCAGTACCTTATCATTCCCCATGAATACACCATCATTAATGACTCGAGGCCTCAAATCCTCCTATCCTGTTTCCTGACCTACTCAATGAGTGTTCATTCACCCTGTGTCTCCATTCTCTGCCCCCCTCCTTGGCATGTGGGTTTTCCAGCCTGCCCAGTGGACCCCCTCAGTCTACTGGGACCAGGGCTGGAGTCAGGGTGCTTGGTTGCACCCCCAGACCAGGCTATACTCACGCCACAGTGTTGCAATGGCTGGGGCCGCTGGGTGACCTGATCAGTCGGGGAGGGCTGACCAGTGCCCACCCGGTGCCTCCCTCCCACAGGTGGCGCTGCCGGGCATGCGCTGGGTGGACGGTCACAAGGGCGTGTTCAGTGTGGAGCTCACGGCCGTGTCCTCTGTGCACCCCCAGGTACGGGGTGGGGCAGGAACCCAAGAGTCCTGCCCTGCTCCCCTCTTGCCTGCCCTAGGATTGAGTAACAGTTGCCGATGGCCAGGGAGGTCTGGCCTCGGGCCTTGGACGTGACTTTGGTCAGCTGGGCCCAGCTTTCAGGGAAGCTGCTGATTCAGGCGGGGGTGGTCTTCGTCCCCTGGGGCCCCACCCTGCTCACTCCACGTCCCTACCCAGGACCCCCACCTGGACAAATTCTTCACCCTGGTGCATGTCCTGGAGGAGGGGGCCTTCCCATTCCGGCTCAAGGACGCTGTGCTGAGCGAGGGCAACGTGGAGCAGGAGCTGCGGGCCAGTCTTGCAGCACTGCGCCTGGCCAGCCCCGAACCCCTCGTGGCCTTCTCCCACCACGTGCTGGACAAGCTCGTGCGTCTGGTCGTCAGGCCCCCGATCATCAGTGGCCAGATTGGTAAGCGGATGTGGCCTCAGACCTCAGTTTCCCCATCCAGCACATGGCTCCTCAGTCCTGAGGTCCTGGGGGAACTTCTATAGGTCCATTTACCTCTCTAGCCATTTGTCTCATCTGATAAATGACCCCCAGTCCCCTACACCCAGAGAAGGTCTTCTGTGACCCTTTGGCTGGGCACGGCGGCTCACGCCTGTCATCTCAGCACTGTGGGAGGCCGAGGCGGGCAGATCACCTGAAGTCAGGAGTTCAAGACCAGCCTGACCAACATGGAGAAACCCCATCTCTACTAAAAATACAAAATTAGTTGGGCGTGGTAGCACGTGCCTGTAATCCCAGCTACTCGGGAGGCTGAGGCAGGAGAACTGCTTGAACCTGAGAGGCAGAGGTTTCAGTGAGCCAAGATCATGCCACTGCACTCCAGCCAGGGCAACAAGAGCAAAAATCCATTTAAAAAAAAAAAAAATCTGTGACCCTTTAATGAGCACATGATCCCTCGAATCCTGATGTCTTTATATTTGGAAAGTGGGCGGGGAGGTGAGAGGCCTTGGGCCCTGGAACTTGACCTCTGCTTTGCCCGGCAGTGAACCTGGGCCGTGGAGCCTTTGAAGCAATGGCCCATGTAGTCAGCCTTGTCCACCGGAGCCTGGAGGCAGCCCAGGATGCCCGTGGTCACTGCCCACAGCTGGCTGCCTACATCCACTACGCATTTCGCCTGCCTGGCACTGAGCCCAGCCTCCCGGATGGTGAGTTTGTAGAAATCCCTGGGAGACAAGAAATATCTAGGAGAAGAGGCTGGGTGCGGTGGCTCACACTTGTAATCCCAGGACTTTGGGAGGCCGAGGTGGATGGATCATTTGAGGTCAGGAGATCGAGATCAACCTGGCCAACATGATGAAACCCTGTTTCTACTAAAAATACAAAAATTAGCTGGGGCCAGGCACAGTGGCTTATGCCTATAATCCCAGCACTTTAGGAGGCCAAGGCAGGTGGATCACTTCAGGGGGTCAGGAGTTCAAGACCAGCCTGGCCAAAATGGTGAAACCCCGTCTCTACTAAAAATACAAAAATTAGCCAGGTGTGGTGGTAGGTGCCTATAATCCCAGCTACTAGGGGGGCCGAATCATTTGAACCCGGGAGGCGGAGGTTGCAGTGAGCCAAGATCATGCCACCGCACTCCAGCCTGGGTGACAGAGTGAAACTCCGTCTCAAAAAAAAAAGTGCCGGCCTGGATCGCTCACTGCAACCTCCATTTCCCGGTTTCAAGTGACTTCCTGCCTCAAGCCTCCTGAGTAGTGGCTATTAGGTTGTGCCACCACACCGGCTAATTGTG